TCGACTTCACTCACGCTTTATCACCCATGGCCCAACAATTTCAACAAACATTTAATATTAAAAATTTTTATTATATAATTTTAATAATTAAAATTCCAAGTGTTTAAAATACGGTAAATATTGAATTTATTTCATTCATAACTTTTGCCAGGTTTTCCCCTTGCGAATTGCGTTGAAAAAAAACAACAGCAACAAAAATCTTTTCATTTTAATTACTTTTTAGAAAAATTATTACTTATATATATAATTAAAATATAGTGATATAGAAAATGTTATCATTGTTTAAAAATAAAATCTATCTACATCTTCATTATTTCATAAGAAAGCTGGTTGTCCATAAGCCACACATAATTCTATTACTCTCTAGTGAAACCGGACTGAGCAAATGATGTTAGATATTAATTCAATCACTCAGAAAAGGAATGAAAGTATCTTTGTTCCTGAAACACCTCCTAATTTCTCAAATTATATAGATTCTGAGCATTTTAAATGTCTTCGTATCAATGCAGGATATAAATTTACAAAGTCTTCTTTGTTTTTAACTTAATGTATTTCCTTCGAACGTCGCTATCGCTAATTCCTTTCTTCCAGAACATGTTCCTCCAGTACACCTACGATTGTTCTATAATTTTTCCGTGACAATTTTAGTACAAATCTAACATTATATTTTTCGTTTGATGTGCACCCGACTTTTACAGTTTTTCAAATGTTTTCAGATATTTCTTTCCTTGTACATATGTCTTTATGACCCTGCATAAGGTTCACAGCCAGAAATTTAATTTTATTTTTTAGATCGGCTATGCATTTGTCTTGTACTGATTCATTATTTACAAATAGATGTATGAACGCATGATCCATTTAGGGAAAAGGGCTTCAGCCTCTCAAGTCCCCCCATGTAATTACGTGTCTGCCCGGTATCCAATAGACATCCGCTGTCTATTTGTGGCGAACTCTGATATGGGTTGCCTACTGTTTAGAACATTTTTAGATGTAATATGACAATTTCGGTAATTGCATTTATCGCATCTTAGCTGTCTATATAAGTAATGATCTTGCAGTTTCGTTTTGCTTTCGGGTTAGGTTAGCAATGATAAGCTGACAAAATACTACAATGATGAAGCAGCCAAACTTGGTGTTTAATAAATGAATGAATAATGAATATGAACACATGTATAAGTATATAACACAAATTTTTCTATAAAGAAAAGATTCTATATTATTAATATTATTATATATTGAATATGTTTATTTATTTTCAATGCAGTGTCATTGTTGTTGGAGTTATTAAATATTATTATAATTATTAATTTTTATGAATAATTATACATTTTTAATAATTAATTTAGTAATTCTTAACTTATTTTCACGTCAAATTATAAGCTAATTTATAAAAGGATTATTAAAGGAATGTCTTTCTTTTAGAATTATACTTGATCTATTATTCAAATAGCCTTTCCGTGGCATAGTCCTTAAGTGAATCCCTTTTAATATAAAAATCAAAGTGCACACTTTAAAGTGAACTTTTGAAATTTTATTAAAGATAACAAGTTTTGTGCAACATTCAAGTAGCAACGTCATTGATATAACTCGTTGCACTCTGTAAAGTGCTTCATAAAGCACACGCGGTGAACAAGGCTAATTTCGAAGCCGTTCAAAGGGTTGTCACACTTTTTTTTAATGTTGATGGCACTTCTGTGTAACCCGTTTGCTGCTCTTCAATTGCACTTTTTTTTTGCAACGCACAATAACAATTGTAACGAGCGTAATTAAGAGTTGTCATACTGAATATGAAATCAAAAAGCAAAACTTTTCGAAATGCTGAAAATTCATTTGCCTTTTTATAATGCAGGGAGCGTGGAGCATAATAAGAGCGGTAATTTCAAACAAAATACACAACACGTCCACGTATTTGCGGTGTGTTGCCTTTCGCATTTCTGACTTCATGTCACCCCTTTCACATTTCCCATCACTCTTACGCACGAATACGAAAAGATTTCACGCTCCAAATTAATTTTAAGTTTTTGTAATTAAACTGTTTTACGTTGGCGCTAATAAAATAAAGTTGTAAGTCGAAAAACATTTAAAAAATATTTAAAAATCTATTAGAGAAATTTCGGCTGAACCCAACTCGTTAGAAACGAATTGATATACATTTGTTCCCCTAAAGAAAATTCCAATAATTCCGACAATATTCAAATAGTCATTCTCTGGTGTTGCCTTTTTCACTAAGAAAATATACGTTTGGGTTGAATATATCGGAAATGTTTTAAATGTTCGGGATTAAAATTATTTGACTTCAAAAATTTTAATTTGAATAAAGTATGTATTTATTTATAAATTTACAATCTTTTACACATTTGTGTGATATAAAACATGTATCAAATGCCATACGGTCAAATAATTGTGAAAAAAAACTATTTAATTCAAAAAATCTTAATCAATCGCAATTTAAAAATCAAACTATTAAAACAGAGATTTTGTTTAATAATTTTTAAATCTCACGGGAAATTCATTCGCAAATTCTTTTCTTTTATTTCGCTTTGTGTATTCATTTGAGCTGAATTAAGAAGAGCAGACACTTTGCTCTTGAAACCATACAATTGGAAAAATTATGCACAACAAAAACAATTTTACAACAAAAATGATGCTGTTTTCGTAGCTTAGTCATATGTGTGCATATAAAAATACATACAATCGGAGAATGAAATATAATATATATGAAAGAAATTTAAGGTGGCATATCAATTTCTACCATGTCGTTCTTATTTATAGAGTTCTAATATCGTCCGTTTTTGACTTTGAGCACAATGATTTGCGATAATAATGAAAATTACTTGAGTAATTAATGCTGAAATTTATACATGAAAATTATTATATAAATTATTTGAAAAATAATTCGTCAGTCACTTCTATGTGGATGTGTAGCGTTTAGCAAAGCTTCAAACACTACTATTCGCCAGCTAGAAATTGCACAAAGCCAGGCTCTGAGAAGACTTTTCAAGGTACCGTGGTATATTAAGAGGAATGACATCCTCCGGAACCTAAAGATTGATCCGATTTAAAAATACGTAAAAGGGTAGAGCACTGATATTATTTCCGAAAATTGACAGACCAACCAACTCAGCGTTATCGAATCTCAAAATGGTTACAGGCTCCTCGGGGAGGTATGCAGATCTGAGGTCAATTATTGCTTAATGAAGTGATAATCCAGTCCATGCGTAAAGACAGGTTTTGAAGATACCACGAGTTAATAAAGAGTAAAAGTACTCAAGTGCACTGGCTTAAACAGCTTTAACATAAATTAAAAAATCAGAAAACTTTCTGAAATTAATTTAATAACATATGTTCGATTCTTTTAAATTGTGTCATAAATTAGTTACTCTGTGATCGCAAATCTCTTTCATCACCTCTTTATTTAGAAAATTAAAAATAGTTACGAATACTAAATCTAGCAAATATGCTAAATAAGAAAGCAATTTGTATGAAAATTTGAATTATCAAATTGAAAAACAACTTTTAGTTTAGCCACTTAAAATGTTCTTCTTGTAAAATGTAATTAAACTTGTATAATAATATTGCGTAATGGAAGGTAATCAATATTAAATACACTGCATACATAATGGAAAGCTTTTTATAATCATCTAAACTATCTTAAAAATATTCGCTATCTTTGTAATCGATTCGCATGATGAAATTCACTGCCTTGAATATTCCTTCATCTGAAGTATTCAAATCGATTATGTTAATACTGTTCTAAAAATGGGTTGAAAATGTTACACAGTCGCGTTTACTAAGGAAACCTCGATAGGTTTATAAATTACAAATAGTAGATATCCTTGATCATTACAATACAACGAATCAATTTAGTGATCTAAGAAGAGAAACCTGTTTAGTTAGTACACTTGGTTAAAATGTTAAGGTTTATTTTCATTTCATTTAATAAATTTTAACCAATATTATATTTTTTTTAAAATTTCTCATTTTACAGATATTCACATTTCTAAAACTAAAACGTGTACCTTCACTCTCCTAATCAAACCATTTATATTCAAAAGCGATATTTTACGCCAAAATACTACGGCAATCACAAATCATTATCCTTCAAGCAGATTTGTTAAAAGGATATAACAAAAATGTAATTAATTACTAATACAAACACGTTAAATACGTGTTAAAAATGTCTACAATCCTATTACTAAGAATCGAAAATGGTGAATCTATCGTTTGGAAAATTTATTACCTTTTGCGGCAATTATATTTGAATTTTTTTCCACATCTTCTTGAACAATGTACGGCTCTTGAATGCGATTAAAAACGGAGCATGCATGGCTTGTATGGGATCAAAATAGATGCTTCAATATTTTTTTATGCGCCACCCCCTTGTAGTCCGAACACACAGTGAACGGTTTAACGGCATTCGCTAGTTTAGGAATTTGTATTTTAAAATTTCTGTAGATTTTTAAAATGTAATAAAACGATTTGGGGAACTCATGAGTTAAGATAAAATCAATAAAAGCTACATCGACCGTACATTTTGAGGCCATCACTCACTATGGTTCAACATAGCGAGGGGAGGAAGAACAAGTATCTGAATAATTTGAAAACGCAACGTTTATATTGCATTTGTAATAATTTGTGTAGCCAAATTAGCCGCATATTTGCCACGTCAATAAGCACGACATTAATTTTTATTGCTTTTTTGGCATGGAAAATTTGTTTCAATTTTTGGTTGTAAATCTTTTAGTTTGATTGATGTATTCATGCATTTTTTCGTATCAATTTTTTTGAGTATGTAAACACATTAAAATTATTAAAGTTGAAATTTATGATTACAAAAATATTGTTTCCGCTTCATTACACAAAACGAACGAATCAATTAGACAATTTAAACGTAAAATTAATTAAATTTGTTGGCAATTTTTTGTGCCACTCGTTGACCACAACAAAAAGCAAAATACCAACAACAATTACACAGACAAATATTTTTTTATATACCACAGATGTCCACAACAAAGCAACGGCTTCATCCGCAATAACGTCATCAGTGGCAGCAGCAGCCGCTGCTTTAGCAGTTGCCTCAACGACATCCACTTCGGTAACTGCCTCACATTTAACGCATGCCCATCACCATCCCCACCATCATCATCTCTCAAATGGCGGTTTACTAGCTGCAAGCATGAATAGCCTCAGCAATTGTGCTGGCTTACGTGGTGTTGGTAGCGGTCTGACCGCAGTTGGTATCTCTGGTAATGGTGCAGGTGTTGGTTTAAGTGGTGCTACACATATTCCTGATATTTGTCCTGTCTGTGGTATAAAGCTCACAGCCGAAGATTGGAATTCACACTTCCTAACTGAACTTGACCGACTGTACAAATTGAGCTCTGGTATGGAACGTACGAATTTACAAGCTACTTACATGTTCGCACCTCCTTGTCCGGCGCAAGAAAATGCCATTAGAACAAGCCATAATCGTTGGGAGGTAAGACTTCAAACATTTTTATAGATAAACATATAGTAATGTAATACAAGCATTGAGATTTTTAATGAAGCTAGTATGCATATGAAATATATTATAAATAGTGAAACTGTTGGTTCCACACCTATACAGTGATTTAATTCTCTCAAACAAACTATTTTTAACTATTTGTATATATATTAAACAATATTTATTTGCAGACATTCCAACGAATTCGAAATAACCGACAAAATCGTTTACGTATTAAAGTTCGTAAACGAAAGTTTGGCAATGAACTTTATTTCATGGAAAATCTATTCTGCAACTCCTGTCCAATTTGTAAACGGAAATATGCAATGGAAACGGGAAAGATGCCGCCTGAGGTAACTTTATAAAAATTAATATTTGTTTAATTAATTTTTGTTTCGATTTAAAAAAAAAGTAGTAGTAGTATTATTCTTCTTTATTATATATAGGTTATTTAAATTTACAAATTTAACTTTATACATTAACTATAAATAAATATGGTATAACCTAACTAAATTGACATAAATAGTTTTTAATAATTCCTTATACGATTATGGCTTTCGCCGTCAGTCGGAAGTTTGGATTCCTCTTTATTGATTTGCAATAAATATCATATAAGTGCAACATTGAGAACTTCTACCTATGGATGTTAAACTATTTCTAATATAATATTTTCTCTATTACGAATTACCATTTTCACATAAATCGATAAGATCTACCGGTTTTCACTATTCAGCAGCCTCATTGACTCGTGTAAGTCTAACGTTTGCTTTCCGAAATAGTGATCCCGTAACTCCGTAATAAAATTAGACAATTACTAAGGAAATGTATTACATCTTCCTTTTCTGCGGTATTGCATAGTGTGTATCTCAAGTGTAACGAGTTCATATAGGGAGTGTAGTTGAGATTTAACAATTATCCTCGAGTTTTGAAAAAATCAAAATATAAAAAATTTATAAATACATTATTAGTTTCCTTTTAATTTTTAAAGTACCTATTCTTTGATTCTTTTGTTTTATTTTATATCATCATTCGTCTGTATAAATATTCTACATATTTTCTACAAATTCATAGATCATCAACCACATATTTTTAACAAGCAAAAATTAAAAGGATGTGTGACTTACGACTCGGTTATTATTTAAAAATTTCATCTTGCTTAAAATACTGAATCACTTTTTCTTATTTACACATTTTGTCACGAAAGTAGAGGTTTATTAGAGCACGCCAACATTATAAATGTTCTTGGCCTGAACACTGACGCCTTGTGGTGGCTTTTTTTAATTTTTAGGCGACTATACAAAGAACTTTCTGTCGAGAAACATACCTCTCTAGTACATTGAGAGTAACTTCATTTCTACCAATTATAAGTCTTAAAGATTTATTTGCGTAAAATTGTGCTTACTTAGACGTCAGATTCAACCCCAAAATCCAACGACAGCTTAAAAATTCAAAGAAGAATCAGGTTCAGGTGTCAGGTACGAAAACTAAATAAATAAAAATAAATAAATAAATAAATGTTAACCATTGCGACTGCAGGAATATTGTTTAGATGAAGCAGAATTGTTTCCCTTTGAAAATAGAAACTTCTGTAATTAAGTTAAAAAATTTACTCAATGATCTGTGTTCCAGTAATAGTACTACAATTTTAATGATAGCCAATCCGAAGAACTCCCTTGACATCTCAAATAATAGTAGCCTTTTTGACTGACAGTGAAATATTCGGAACGCTTTAATCTTTTTTTTTTTGATTATTACAAAAATTAAATGAAACGATATATATTCAAATGATATATAAATCAAATGAAACGTAATATGTGATTTATACTTGTTGATTATCTGGTATTTGTGCATCTCAAAAATGATATCCTTCTACTATGCTGATTAGATTATATGGTATTTATATATTGTACTATCGCATGTGCCGATTTAGAGTTCCTTAAAACTTCATCTAATCAGATTATGTTTACAGTACCGTATTCTTATTATTGAAAAGATTATTAAATTAAATATACATATCTAAATATTTATATATAGAATAACATAAATAAATATATATTTAAATAAATATTTCTAATTGCAGGAAGAGATTGAAACGGTTGATGTTGAAAGTTGTAACGATGATGTGCCTGATTCAGGTTCCGAAATACAAGCAGCTCATACACAAATACCAGCAAGTGGGAGTAGTCACGGGCACAGCATACATCATGGTAGTAGCAGTAGCTCGAGCAGTAGTAGTAGTACTGGTAGTGTCAGTGTAAGCAGTAATATGCATAATAGTAACAATCAACCCGGAAAATTAGATGGAATACTCTATAGAACAGCCTGTGTGATAAATAAAGATATCAGTAGTGAAGACGATATAACCACAAATGTGGCAGCGTCGAGTAGTAGCAGCAGTAGTATGGGTGGTAATAGTAGTAGTAGTGTAAATGGAATGAATGGTAATAATTGGAATGAGCCACATATACCACATGGACATATCAGTGGTAAGTTTATAGAATGTTACAAATATTTCAACAATAAAAATTTAACTACAATGATTTTGCAGTTAAAAATGTAAGTGAATTATCATCAACAACACATCATTTTTACAATGCTGACTCTTGTGGTGATGAACGCGCCAGCAATTGTAACACAAAGGATGTCATTATGGAGAATTGTAATAATGACAGTGATGAGGACGTCATTGTGGATGATGACGACTCAATTAAAATGACGAATTTATCCAAAAAACGAAAATATGAGGAAACCCTAGTTAGTAGTAGGTAAGCTTTTTTTTATTAAACACATATCTATTAGGTATATTATTACAATTTTTTTTATTTAATTTTTTTTTTTATTAGAACTTCAGAAAATCGTTCACCAATTGAGGAACGACCACGCTCAGAACCACAAGTGACTAGTAGCGAACAAAGTATGGAGATTACAAATAATAATACGAAGTACACAACATTCGAGGAGTTGCGAGCTAAACAACAACAACAAATGGAAGCTGACAACGGTCATAGTAACGTTTTGATGCCGGGAATAACGCAATTGGACACAAAGGTGGGGATAAGTTCGGAAAATAAACCGGACGAAGAAAACAAATGTTTCATTTGTAAGGTAATTTGAGTTTTCTTCAGTTGTTCTCATTTTCTTTACTTTTATTTCTTACGAATTTTTTACTTATTTAATTATTATATTATTATTTTTATTATTATCATAGTTTTAGCGTATAGATATATATATATTTTTAATTGGAAAAACTCACTATCGCTTTTGTTACTAAAGAAACTATTTTATTTTTAAGACAGGTATAAAGGACTTTAATTCCGATGCCTTCTTTCGGGGACGAAATTTATATTTTCACCAAAGTTGTGCCAATGTTATGAGTACCTACCGTTTGAGTAAGGACTTGCAACAACAACAAAGTCTGCTTCAGCAACAACAACAGGAATCACGAAAATCACCTTCGAATGTAACGAGTGCAAACAATTAAGGACATTCAACAATATCTCCAGTAAAATCTGTTAAAAGCCAAATTTAAAGCTTAAAGAAATGAACTTCTTTTTATTGACAACTTTTAGTAGACTTTTCTGGACCCTGTGAAGTATTAAGAATTTATTAACTTCTACAACATAATTTAGGCATTTAAATCAAAGTATTTACTGTAGTCTCTAGTGAAATCTTTTGTAAATTATGTATATGTAAATTAATTCTTTTTTAAATTGTACATTACTAATAATAATTTTTTTAATCGTAAGACTTTAAAAATATATTTTATTTAAAATAGTTAATTTTATCTTAAAAAATTTTTGATATTAAAAAATCGTAAGGGTTCTGATTTATGTTTGTTTTATTTTTAGCTAACACTGACTGTGCAGAACAGTATAAAATAATGCAATTTTAGTATTTATGTTAGTGAATTTTATGTTTTTGAATTTATAAATAAATATATTGTAATTCTGTGCTATATAATTGTTAATAAAAATTAGTTTTTAAGTGTAAACGAATATATTATATAAATAAAAACATAAATTAAATAAATTTCAAATAAAGTAATCGTACATAAAATACTAACACAAAACTTGAACTCTTTCATTTAATTTTCATTAAGTTTATTAAGAATCCTAAACACTATTTTGAATAAATCTTTTAGTTTTAGCTGAATATATACAAAATAAATATCAACAGTTCATCAACAGTTAAAAGGATTAATTTTATCCCATTCTATAAACCTACGAATATTGTATATTGTGTTTTCCAGCTTTGACTATAATTACCATAGTTCAAAAAAATAATTGAAGCCTGATCCTTCAGAATCAAAAATAACAACAAATAACAACAGGTTATTTTCTAAGACAAAAGTTTACCTGTAAAGGTAATATATATATGTATCAAACGTATTTCTTAAGAAAATCAGCAGAAAGATGTGGCTTATATTCATCATTACCTATTAAACCATGTGGTTTAATGAGTTTGTAAAATGGTATTCTTTAAAAACATGGCAATAAATCAGATTCAACAAAATACTTTTTTCAAAAAAATACTTCTTCATTCCAGCCCAATCATATTAGAATTAACACAATGTCTTCTGTTTAATAATTTTATATTAACGATTTTGTATGATGTTGCAAATTTTTTAATATGAGTAGCTAGATGTCATATAAGTCATACTACTATGTTGACGTTGACCATAGACGATTTATATATAAATTGTATATGCATTGACTAACTGAGAAGCTATATCAAAAATTTTATTCCTAATATATACCCCATTACAGTAGAATCTGTGGGTTTCAAACCTCAAGGTCCCCTTATATTGTATATACCACTGGGTTTGCCTTTATATACAGTTTTGAGACTAGCCTTCATTCTGAATATATATCTCTAAGCATTTCACAAATTCACATTATGTAGTTTTATGTAAAACTATTAAAGTTAACTTGTGGGCAGCTTTCTCTTCTAAGTCTTACCATAACTTTTTGGACGTTGACCTTTATCTTCCACATTACCAAATCGATTCAGCTTAAGTATATCCGTAGATATGTTATAGAGTAGACAGTATAATTGAGTTCATAGATTTTCAATAAATAATTCGCCCAATAAAATTTTTGACATTTAATATATATATTTAAAAATTTATGATAAAAAGTGTTTTTACTTAGGACTAAAGCGAATTTATCTGTATGTCATAACAACTATATATATTATTAATGTATATATTATTTCTTATGTGCAAAAATGTGCTATACACATTATTTCAAGTTTATCCACCCTTAATAATATTTTTGTTATATATTTTTATTATATTTTAAATGATAAGATTTATTAGCAAAAAAGTAAGCATTGTTTGTAGTGTTACCAGATTAAACAGAACAAGGTTTTTATAATTTAAACAATAAACCGTTGTTTGCCAATTTTTTTTATCAAAGTTACCAATCTCAAGAATCTCAAAATTCTCCCAAACTCAAAGTTACAATCTCATGAAACGAATTCAAACTCAACATCTGTCTAGTTGTTGCCGCTCTGCACTGTTACTATGTTACTCAGTAACCGAACTCGTTATGGAAAATCATTAATACTTCTTATATTAAATTTGAACCCATTACGATGACCTACAAACTGTTTAACCAATGTAGGTTTAGAAATATTGGAGGTAATTGCATCTGATACCAACTAACTTGATCTCTGATCATAACTTCTTATCTATTTGTGAAATTTCGGTAATTGTTTTGGGCTATGATTCATGTTTTGTTACAATAATAGCCAATATTATTCAATTGTAAGGTGATTCTGATGGCAATAATAATAATGAAAACAATAGTTATAAGAATAGAAGCCAAGATATAATTTGAAATCAAAGAACCATCGCTAAAATCGTGATGGTAATTATAGTTTGTTATCTATGATAAAGTGTATCTCTATCGCATGGATTGAGATTAATGACCAAAATTAAATTAAATAATTCCTTTGATCAAACATCAGATCTTGTATTGTATAGAATTTTTGTTAGACACACTGACATTTTTACTTTGGGATGCTTATTTTAACGTGAAAAAAGCTAGAATGTTAAGATCTTAAGTCAGCTGAAGGGTATATATAAAAAAGTATTTATGAAAGGTCTTTTTGAAACTGGAAAATAAATTAGAATTTTTGCATTACATTAAATAGAACCTGCCATAAAATCGATAAATAAATATTGATAAATATTAAAAATAGTTTTAATAATTTCCGGTAATGTTTTTTTTATAATATAAATAAGTACAAATATTATTTTTTTTTGTAAATGCGTTTATTAATTTGGTCAAGCAAATTGTTGCTATATTAATAAAAACAATGGAAAATTTTTGAATAAATAATAGCAGATAAAAATAATTACAGAAAAATTTGTTTGTTCACCCGAGCTATTTTTAATACACATTTTCTGATAACCCAGAGAGTAGAAATGGAATAATTCTAAGGCACAACACGCTACAAGACGCACTAATCATTCAATAGATAATACAATTATGTGTAGAACAAGCATATATGAAATTAGTCGAAGTCCATGCATATAAGTGGGAAAGAAATTTACTGTACGGTGTTCTTCGCATTCTAAGTGCTTTGGCATAACAAAATCGCAATCAATTAACCTTCATTTGAAGTTGTTTATAGAACATTTAAGCGAAATGAAAGCGCACTCGCTACAACTGAGTACACATTCAGTTGTGAATGAGAAGCTGACAAAACAAGTCAAAAGCGGAAAAATCTGTTTAACTAATACAAAAGTGAACTAAATCTAAATAAATATTTAAATAACTTAAGGTATGCGAAATATTATACACATAAAACGTGTTATTTTTGTTGATGGATTTATTTGATAATAATTAATCTTAATTATATTGCTTTTACAAATTATAAACATAAAAAATATTAATAAACTAATTCATATGACATTTCATTAGCACCATTTTTATTGTTTTTGGGTTAAATATTTAATTTTATTTTTTATTTCAATTTAATTCTTCATAGAATTTAAAAATGTTCTCAAAGCTGTCAACGAGATTAGCGCCTCAACTCACGCGCCAACAGCAAACGCTTCATTCATTAAAAAATGCGACAAAGTTGACATCACAGAAAGTTTTTGAACGTGAAAACAAATATGGAGCTCACAATTATCATCCACTTCCTGTGGCGCTGACTAAGGGAGAAGGTGTTTACGTTTGGGATGTTGAAGGAAAACAGTATTTTGATTACCTTAGCGCATATTCAGCTGTCAATCAAGGTCATGGGCATCCGAAAATCATTAAAGCTTTAATGGAACAGGCACAAAAATTGTCTTTGACATCCAGGTAAAATATAAATTAAATCAATTTTTTATCCTGCTACCATTTTAATTTGACCTTTAATTCAATTTGAAGTATTCTTCTGAACTTTATATATTTTTACATTCAAGAGAGTTTAAATACAAATATTATAGTTTCAGATTAATGACTTCCTTCAAATTACATAGCCATCGAATAATGTTTTCAATTTTATATTTCATTCCCTTATTTGATCATTTTGATCCACTAAGAAATCATTAGTAATAGACAGAAATATTTTTAATTTTTAAATTTAATTGTAAAGAAAATGATATACTTAATCTATAAGTAAGTTTATTTTTTTTTTACAATATAGTAAATTTGTTTAAATATGTTTTAGTATTCGCTTTTTTTTTTAATATTTAATAATATATAAAAAAATTTCGCAAAATCCATTTAAAAAAAATTATTCTTTAATAATTGCATGCTTGCTGCCATATGAAGCTGATCAAGTTCTGCCATAGCAGCCAAATCTAGCACTTCAGACTTGATCAAATATAGTTTTTTTCAAAAAAATATCGGTTCCCACATTAAACTGAATTATAATACAATAAGAAGTTCACAATATGGAATCAAAGTTATCGATGGACTTGCTCCATTTTAACTTCTGTGGGTCATGTTCGTAGTTATTCAAGAGGAAGTCACTTTTTATTATGTTTAGAGTCATTCATCGTTAGTCATCTTCCATATATTTATATATGTATGTAAAACTACTTGATATACTTAATACTAATTTGTATCATATGATCATTTATTTGTATAATTGTTTAATTTTAACTGATATAATTAAATTAAGCAATAAAATGATAAAAACAGCTGCTGATTGAATGTCAAAAAAATCAATTATAGCTTAAGTTACTTTTGTATAGCTCGGCTCTGAAAATTACTCATCACAGTATATCAACACTAAATGCCATATTTAAACAATATTTTTTTAGAAATGCATATAATAGTTTCAGAAGTTATTGTTTTTTGATGTATTTTGTTTATGTAACAAAAAAATCATTTAAATATTCTTAAAACATGTTTTTTATAATAATCTAACAACTATAAGGATGGGATAAAATATTAATAGGGAAAATAACTACAATTGAAAAAAAAAAACACTGTAACAACAAAAGGAACTCTAGTACTCAGCCTTTCAAATGAAGGTCAGAATATTCCTTTGTAAAGAGTATCTAATATTGTAGGTCCAGAAGCAATACCGGTTTTACTACCGAACCGCCTAACTAATATCGAGATCCATATTTAAAATATTTAAAAAATTGTAATTAATAAATAAAGCTCGGAATTATAAAATAATGCGTAATCATTCAAATTAATTTATATCTGTGCCTCTGCATAACATGATCTAATGTATTCTGTAAATGAGGTGCTTACTGTTTGCGTACATTTGCCAAATCGTTCACTTCTTTACGGAGAGTGTAGACGATTAATAAGATAATATTTCATCAAAGATAATATCTAAGACAATACTTCGTCTAAATAAAATATTTTTTCTAAAGAGAAAACAAATTTGTAATTGGATATTAACCTCATAACTTAATGAAAAACTCAAATACAAAATGGTTAGTCACAAATAATGCAAGTTATCCTGACAAAAAATACATTTTGTTACATCAGATAGATCTATTGTTGAGACGATAGATAGACAATAAACTGAACTAATACAAAATATAAAAAAAAACTATTAAAAATTAAAAAATATTTAAAATTGTCAATAGTAAAAATGTGAAGAAATTAAATCCTAATATAATAAGACAATAAAATAACAATAAGTAAATAAACAATATATATTGTTTTATTTAAAAACAAAATTATACAAAAGCAATGCTTGTTATTATTGTCAATTTAGTACTCAGTAAAAGATTGCAATTGTAATTGTAAAGACTCGATTTTGTTATTTATTTCAAGTTATTTTGTATCGCCAACTTTCCTCAACACGCATTCTTAAAGTAGTTAAGCTGTTACAATTAGTAACTAAGTATACACTTAGTACACTTAGTAACAACACCCTAACACTTAATACTTAGTAATCTATGAAGTTTTACTTATCGCAATTTTTATTAAAAAACCAAAACTCTGTTATTGTAAAGTAATAATAACAATTTTTATATCAAAACAAATGATAGATTTAAAAATAAAAAAAAAATAAAAAATTATTTAAAATAAATTTACTTATCAACTTTCAGCTCCAATTTTATTAACAGTAAGATTATAGATTTTATAACGTGACATTAATGGCTCAATTTATAATATATGTGTCTATCAAAAAACGTGCGGTTTTCAAAATAAAACAAATATATACTATATTTTGAATAAATATGGAAATTCATTATAGAGTTGGCTTTTGAATTATTTTTTTAAAAGTAAAATTTTGTTTATGCTCTTAAGAGAAAAAATAAAAGATTATTAAATCTTATTTAGTATTGATTCTCCTGGCTGTCCACGATTTTATACAACCTTTATTATTTAATAACAAAATTTCAATTTAATGTACTAAATAACGTATATTAAATTTTATTGTAACTTTGGATAAAATAAACTTAGGCCGTCTGCAAGTGCGAGTAAATTGAGATAAAGTAAATTGAAATTTTCCAGGGGTTTTTGCACTGCAATTAAAGTAGTTCTGAATATTCACTTACACATAAAATCACTCAAAATAGGCCTCTTAAGTGAAAGCCTGAATTTCTTTTAACTTTTTAAAAATGTAGTTGTTGTTGAGTGGATCTGACCGATTTTATGCTCAAAAGTTCAATTTCAAGTAAATTTATAGGTAATCAATACTTTTTAATTAGTTTATTAGTATTTTTTTTTATGATAAGCTTATTAATACGAACCTACCAGTTGCCTGAAAATTGAATTGCAAGAAATTATTTGATTTAAAAATAGTAAAAATTTCCCGCAAATGAATTTAACTAATCTTAGGCCAAAAAAAAAAAATAATAATACTGAATTTTTAAATCGCAAAATATCTAATATTGGAAATGCATATAGACTTTCGTTGAAGAATAAAATCAAGTGCAATCCTATTAACAGAACCTGAAAGCGTCTCTCGCTTATTAATCGAAAGTATTCAGTTCATACAAAAGCACTGTATTATTTCTCATGGAGCAATAATATTGTAACAATGAAACCTTAAAGCATGTCTGATATAGTAATTGAATATATAACAAAGTGTTTGAGAGTTCAGGGAATAAACAAATTTAACAATTACATTAAATAAGAATATTAAAAAATTATTTACATTTAACTTGAATAATAAAAATGCTTTGAACTGTTTATTATAAATTGATTTGAATTAAAAAATAAAAGAGAGAATATAATTCTTTAATCTTGTGAAATGTGCACATTTTTATTTTTTTAAATAAAATAATTAATGTAATTAATCTCATTTATTGCGTTTTTCAATCATTTTAATTATTGCATTTTAATATTTTTGTATATATTTTCATCTACGTCATATTTTTATTTGCACAATTAAATAGCACAAATCATCTAATAATATTTTTGGCACAAATTTCTAATTGTTAACCTCAAGTAACCTATTTGATAAGCTATCAGCAATCAAATAACTACAATTGCCACAATTGTCATATTTTTCTAGATTTTTCTGATTTATTTCCAACAAAATTCATCTCGTGATTTTCAAGTGTGTTTCTATTATCAGCCAGCCAAAAAAAAATTAATTGCGTCTTGTGCAAATTTTAAACGAATATTTTTCAAAATCTAAATTAATAAAAATATTGGCCCCCCATGAATTTATTATCAACTTTTAATTTATTTTCTCGTGCTGGAAAACGTTAAAATTCTGCTGATAATTTTTTATTTATAAAAATGATTTGTTATTTTTGAACTGCTTTTGCCTTGAACTTGCGCAAATATTTCAGTTGGTTAGTGATATTTTTGTTACTAGGTTAGTAGTTATCAGTAGTGATAATGAACGCTTTTGACGCTCTTCAAGAAATAATTAAATGAACAAAGTATTTTCAAGAGTTATACGAGTAGCTATTGATTTATTGGTGAAATTTAATTAAGGCGATAAACTTTTGTTTATTGTTGCCAATTTAATGGAAAATTATTGATTTCATATTGATAACAGCTTATAAATTTGAATGGAATTATTATGAATAGTTGTTATAATAAGATTTCTTAATCTTGAAGCTTGTTTCTAATTATCAAATATAAAATATACTTCCTGTTTTGAATTTTAATAAGTTTTTGCTATATTGCAAACGATATTCCTCAAAAACAAAAAAATAAACGAAAATAAAACAAGGAAAGAGTAGGGGATCTAAAAGGAACTCTTTTTAGAAGCGTTTACTTAAATTGTTATTAATTTTAATTATTTTTTATCCTAGAATTCAGTTCCAATAAACTGACTGACAAGGCAGTTTCTTCGTTGTTAGACTCACTTATATATGTTGATCCTTTTTTTCGAGTAGGCGCAACTGGGCAGTTTTACTCTTTGATAGCTGTGGGTACTAAAGGGTCCCACCCATCTCATTGACTAATTTATGTATTGCCTATAAGCTTCATGATTATTCAGTGATTGATCTAAGATCTCACTTATATGTAGGTATATCTATGAAGTATGAAAAATTGAACTTTTGAGCATAAAATCAGTTAAATTTGCTATGGTGCAATCTAGACGGTGAGTTAGGTGTTCGAACATTTTCGAGCAGGTTTCTGTACTCAAGTTAAAAATATATTTAAAATCGACTACAATAAAAGTTTCTAACAGCTCGAATAATTTTGCAAGCACTATTAAAGATTAAAATTAAAAGGAACAAAATACTTACTGTAATCAGCATTAGTATGTACCTTTTTTAAAAATAGTGATATTTTCACTTATTATATGTTATATGTCAATGCCATCTTATATGCTATATTAACTTCTGCGTTACTGATGTTTGAATGCAGTCAGTTATTTAATTAGTAAATTTTTTCTGTTTATATATTTAAATTTATTACAAATTGATGCATATTTTAAGCTGACATTTCGCTGGGCTACATTTGTTACTTAATCTACCATGGTTTACAAAAACCATTCAATTGGTTTTATCAATTAGAAAAAAAAAAGCTGACAAAGCCACAAACAGAAATAGATAAAACAATAAATTGCATGAAATAAAACTTTTAGAAATATACATTGATAATATATCGATCATCTAAAAATCTTCGACCGATATACTAGAGGCAATTTCAGCCGTTCAGTATAAAAAATGATTCGAAAAACAGGTAAAACGTTTTAACAATGTTTTGACTTGATGGAAAACTTTTTTGAATTAGCAGAAATAAAAAATTAGATTAATAAAAAATAATTCTGCAACTAGCTTTATTTATCTTTATAACTTTATAGCCTACTAACCTTATGGAAACTTCAATTTCTTCCTCACTCCAAACGATTATTTCCATACCAATTAGTAACAATTGGTTATATTGATCAGTTATATATTTAAGATATATAGTATAAAAGTAATGTAATATAATTTTTTTACAATATTTAGAGATATGCAACAATACAATCTAATAATATAATGATATAGTCAAGATTTATATTTAACTGTATAATCATAAAACAAATATTTAATGATCTGTCATAACATATTGCTAAAGAAAATATTTTTAGTATATTTCCCATAGGCACTGCCATAAATACAACATATTTAAATGTATTTTAAGTTATAATCAAGGTCTTTTACTTTTTAAATCTAAAGTACCTGTATCTAATATATAAATAAAATAGTTCAAAGTTAAAAATAAAATTTGAGAAGAGATTAATTATATTTTATTTCTTCTAGAGCATTTTATTCTGATGTACTTGGAGAGTATGAAGAGTACATAACTGGAATTTTTAATTATGATAAAGTACTGCCGATGAATACTGGAGTTGAAGGAGGTGAAACAGCATGTAAACTGGCAAGAAAATGGGGCTATTTAAAAAAGAATATACCACACAATCAAGCTAAGGTATATTTATTAAAAAAAAAACAATATAAATTAATAAAAATTTAATACGAAAACTGATATCGCATAACAGAACATGTCAGAACATAGTACCTTTTGCTCAAAAAGTATCCGGATTTTGTTGTTTGTTAACTACTCCTTAAGTAATAGACCTTTTTCCAAAAAAAATTTTTTTTTGTTATGTTGGTACACCGTTTCTTGACATACGGTACAAATTTGAGCGCCATCTGTCAATTAGTTTGTTTAAAGCATCTGTTAATATGAGACTACCTCAAGTGCATTTAGCGATTTTTACTATGGAAAATTCTTGTTGTACGCGATTTTTTGACCAAACACGGCACCACTGTCATCGCTCAGGCACCATATTCGCCGGATCTGGCGCCATGCGACTTTTTCCTGTTCCCGAAACTCAAATTGCTCCTTGCCGCTTCGTGGTAAGCGTTTTGAGTTGATGGAATCGGTAAATGAGAATTCGCTGAAGGAACTAAAAGCCATACCTTCACGGACCTACGAAAAGTGTATGGAAGATTGGGTTAAGCGTTGGCATATGTGTATCGCTTCAGAAGGAGCCTATTTTGAAGGAGATAAAATAAATTTGGAATAAAATTTAAATTTGCATGTTTTATTTACAAAATCCGAGTACTTTTTGAGCAGAAGGTATAATAACTGAATCGTGAATTATATGATATAATAGATATCTTATATTTTTGATAATGAAACTACTTTAATAAAATGTCAGATAAGCAATATGCATACCTATATAAACAATTTATATAAAATAAATTAAATTCAATTTTATTAAGTTTAATAAATAAAAACAAATTACTTTTAAAAATAGATCATTTTTGCTGAAAACAATTTCTGGGGACGCACATTATCGGCTGTTTCTGCATCTACTGATCCTAGCTGTTATGAAGGATTCGGTCCATTCATGCCAGGTTTTGAAACCATAAAGTACAACGATATTGCTGCCGTAGAAGTATGTTTAAAAAAAATTTTTTATAAACACAGAATAAAACTATTGTATTATAGAAAGCAATACAAGAACCTCATGTTTGCGCATTCATGGTCGAACCTATACAAGGCGAAGCTGGTGTAGTAGTGCCTGATGCCGGTTATTTGAAAAAAATACGAGAACTTTGCACCAAATATAATGTACTTTGGATTGCTGATGAAGTACAAACAGGTTTGGCGCGTACAGGTCGTATGCTTGCAGTTGATTATGAAGAAGTCAAACCAGATATTTTAATTTTGGGTAAAGCATTATCAGGTGGTATGTACCCAGTATCAGCAGTTTTAGCAAATGATGATATTATGCTCTGCATTAAACCTGGTGAACATGGTTCAACATATGGTGGAAATCCTCTAGGATGTAAGGTTGCTATGGCTGCTTTGGAAGTTCTAATTGAAGAAAAATTGGCAGAAAATGCTGAAAAAATGGGAAATCTTTTACGTTCAGAATTAAGCACACTCCCAAAGGATATTGTGTCCACAGTAAGAGGAAAGGGTTTACTTAACGCGATTGTTATTAACTCAAGTGAGTATTTTTTAAATAATATAAGTATATATCGAAAACAAACACAAAATAAGAATAAAAAGAGAAAAAAAAACTTAAATTAATTTAAATATATAAAATAAAACAGTAATTACTTAGGGAATATATAATAAATAATATAATATAGAGATTAAGTATATTTATAATATTAAACTTATTTTTATTTTTTCAGAATATGATGCTTGGGATATATGTCTCAGACTTAAGGAGAACGGTTTACTAGCTAAACCTACACATGGCGACATTATACGCTTTGCACCACCGTTAGTAATCAACGAATCAGAAATGTTAGAATCAATTGATATTATCAAGAAGACAATATTATCTTCATAAAATATTATTGTATTATTACATGTTATTGTAAATACATGTATTTAATTTAATTAATTTTAACAAAAAAGTGGAACCAAAGTCTGAATGCTTTAACTTGTAAGCAATCATGTTGCAATCAAAATTTATATTAGGAATAATTATAGTTTTATAACAATTTTTTTATATAATATGTTATATATATAATATGTTAACTAAATTGAAAAATTTTATATTGATATTAAAATAAATATAACACTATATACAGCACTTGACTTTTGAATAAATTACTTAAAATTTAGTGAAGCTCCAGGAATCTATTGAGAATAATTATGAGATTTAAAAAGATTAAAGCGTTTATATAAGTTCAATTTTAAATAATAATTTGGTTTTGACAAATTAATGTTCATATATGAGTTAAGATACAAAGATGAGGCAGAATAAAACATTTTATACAAAACCTGTAACTAACAAAATAGATGTCATATATTTTGTACTCTAATTTGGATACAACTATAAATTTGACTTGAGAATCCCAAATTCTGTATAGTAAACCACTAAAATTTTTAAATCAATATTCCAAAATCGAATATGATGAAATTGCATTGTTTCATGTATCTTTGACGTAAGTAATTATTATTTCAGGCTTTGGATGAATTAGACTTCATAACTTTTAAATCTCTTTATTAAGACCATCTTTTCAGTTTCAACACTGCTATATTTATAATATATAATACGAATAAGTGTCACGTTATTTTTGATATAAAAATTAAAGTTTAAAGAACCAACTTATATTTAACTAAGTTAAATACAGTCAGATTACAAGAAGGTAATGCTTCTATTTGTAGGCCTCCGCCTATCATTTCTCAGGATGAACGTAGTCTTCCTCGTGCGGCAAAAGCTGTCCTATCTCAATTGAGATCAGGATATAGCCATGTGCTTAACAGTTACTTGTCACGTATTAACGCGTCCATTCCTAATGTGTGCCAAACTGCAGCTCCACGCCCCATGATGTCGCCCATTTGTTTTCTTGCCCCAATGCACACACCAATTTAAGTCCAATCGATCTTGGGGACTCGTCCTCTTGAGGTAGCTAGGTTTCTTCGGCTGGAACCTGGTTAGTTTCAAATTATTCCAACACACTCCCCTTCCCTCATCACAGTACTCAATCCCACCTATCCACTCCTTTACCCATGTATTCGTCTTATAATCCTTTCATGTTATCTGCTTTCAGATCCCGGCGGGTTACAACAACAATTTTTACTCAACTTGAACTAAATTAATATATTGAATTTTCGTCTTAATAATCTCAGTAATATAAATTTCTTTAAAAATACATACTTCATATTCATGGACTCTCTAGTGAATGTTATTAAATGAAACCTTCACAACCTTAGTTAACTATCATTATAGCATACTATTGGCACAAACCTCTTCAAATCGTAAATCTCGAATATTTATTTGTTTAAATTACAGTTCATTTAAAAAAAGCCATATTTGTCCCTCGTTTTTTAATTCTTAAAGATAAATAAACAGCCTCAATTAAATTACACGCCTCAGCCAATATTGAAATAATGACAAAATTGTGTCAAAAGCGATGAAAAACTAAAAAAAAAACAAAATTAAAAAATCACAGCATGACAAATATTTTGGAATTATAAAGCATCTCTCACACTACAACAGTTCACGGCTTAAATTTCAAATTTCAATTTTGATATCAATTCCCTTAAATCACATTTTGTTTGTACACCAGATCATGCGGAAAAACAGCGAGGAATAATCTTAAAAAAAACCAAATTTAATAATAAAAATACTTAAATGTGCATATTTTCAATAAAAAAAATAATTAACAATTTTAATGTTTTAATTAAATTAGAAAAGAGTCTAAGGCAACGAAGGCAGGCATTCACGTTGACAAAATAAACCAAACAAAATAAAAGACGCATCCCTTCGCAAGGATAGTAGCCTGGGTCTCTTAAGGAATTCAACGGTCGTTAAGCAATAAATTGACAAAAGCTGACAACATTTCGTTATCTAAGACGCCGTTAAAATTTTCAAGAGTAACAATAAAAAATGCGGAAAAACATTGTAGAAAATGTTGAGGATGTAACTGAAAGTGACAAAATAAGAAAAGAATCTTATTAAAAATATTTGAAAATTGTTGCATTTTGCATTTATTTTGTGCAAAAGATGTGAAGATTTGTAAATAGAATGCAACTTAACCATTAAAGTACTCGCTTCAATTTTAGTAAATTTTAACTAAATTACCATCTACTACACAATTAAAATTATAACCTCTGTTTTCTTTTAATTAATAGTTAATATCTCTTCTTTATATTTGACATTACTTACAAATATTATATATAAATTTATTATTGTATATTTTTTATAAAGACTTGATAATAGCTCTTAGAGTATGGCGTTTCATAATAATATAGAAAATCAATGAAAGATCATCTTCTTAAATTATACATAGGTATTTATTAAGCCTCCTTGAATTCATCGGATTAAAACATTCATATACATAAAGAACTTCAAGGTTCCTCAGGGACATCAAGATTGATCCCATCAAAAAATACATAAAGGATAGAGCCCTGAAATTATTTGCGAAATCCGACAGACTTACTAACACCGCGTTATCAAATCTCAGAATGGTTACAGGCTCCTCGGGGAGATATGCAGATCTGAGGTCAATTATTGCTTAGTCTAATGAAGTGATAAACAATAATCCAGTCAAGGCGCAAAGAGGGGTTTTGTAGAAACCTCGCAGTTAATAGAGAATAAAAGTGCTCAGATGCACTGACTCAACTCAACTAGCCTCAACATAGTATAGTTAAAGCTAAGTAACGTAATAATAATATTACGTTAATATAAGAAAATAAATATCATATTAAATATATTGTATTCAGTTAAAGTGGAAAAAATACCAGACAGTTATTCTTATATTTTTTAGTCTATTATAATAGAATAACATATTAATAGAAAAATTCTACAATTCCTATTAAAGTTTTGATCAACATATACTAGTTCTGGTAATTAACGACTATTGACTATTGACTATTGAAACATTAAATTTTGTCAAATTATTAAAATACTTTTTTACTACATCAAATTGATGTAATATGGTACTTAAATGTTGATATGTAATTTATTGAATATAAAGTATTCGACGTTTTAAGTCAAAATTGAAATTTTTATTTTAATTTTAAAACCGGTTTTATTATTATAGTTATTGCCTTTTTTCAACCACTTCTTCCATTGACAGACTAGAACTATATTTAATTAAACATCTCAAACGTGCTAGTGTTGCTATACTGGAAATTACAACCTGCCATATCCAAACTATACGAGGGCTGCTATATATATTTCATGTGACATACCGTGAGATAGAGGCATTCTTGGGCACTTCTCCCACTAGCATGCATTCGATATTGCATGAACACTTGGCCGTAAAAAGGTTGTTCTCGTTGGATCCTGCACAATTAGAAAAAATAATGCAGTTCCAATATGGTTACTATTCAATTTTTTCCTGTATGCCCGTAAAATAAAAAGTAAGAAGTATTGAATTACAAAACAAATTCTAGTGACAATTGATTGATAACTGCATAGGTACATTATTTAAGCTAAATAATAGGTGTATAATTGCTTCTTTGCTATATAACCTATAAATAATAGTTATATATACTCCTATAACTAACTAATAATACTTTAACCATTAAATTGAATTCCAGTTATCCAACTCTCTGTCCAGTCAAATTTGAATTATTTATTTTCCAAGACTATAACATATTTCACACGATTACACAACCCCGTTAAGTGTTACATTTATTGTTTCTTATCAAATTCACTGACTTCAAAACAAAATGTAAACGAGGGTAAAATTGTCTTCCAAATTTTATATCTTTTACAAAAAAAATTTGGCAATTGCTCTCATAAAACTTTCCCCTCAAGCTGCAAAAAGGTAGAATTCCATTTGTGTTTTTCTTGGGATTTTAACAAGTGATGCCATTTTCACGGTTTGACAAACATGTTTCCTGAGCTTGGGTGCCTCATCAAAGCAAGTCGATGAGGAAAAAATTTTTATATATAAAAACTGTAAAAAGGACACTTTTCTTAGGAATTCTTTTAAATTAAATGAAAAGATGAAATCTTTATTTTTAATTTTAACGCTTTATTTAATTATGTTGAAGATGTAACAACCATGCTGATGTCGGCTATGATGATGATGATGACTAGACTACTTGAGTTGAAGGTTGCTAATAAAATATAAAGGAATTTTTGGTTAAAATTCAGTAAAAAAGAAGGAAAAAATGATAATAAGCTTATGCATGTGGCAAGGGGAGTGCAGATTTTTTTAATAAAGACATCTTGAGTTGGTGCACAGGAGTTGGTAAATGAAAGTTCAAACAAGTGGCGATAAAACCTTTAGATTATGTGTCCTTTTTTGTATGTTTGGACTTTTTTATGGCCATTGCCTTTTGCTGCAATGTAAATAGTGACCATTTGTTCCTAGTGTTGATGGCGTTTGCAGATAAGGTAGCTTCAAAGAGCAATTGCGGATAAGGAGAAGTGCGTTGTGCCGCCTGCTTGATGCCAAATATTACAAAGGTCATTATGTATTTCCTGTTGCTATAAAAAGGCGGAAAAAGTGTTGATTTTAACGCAAGTTTTTAACTTTTTATGCAGTTTTAGATAAGATTTGTTGTTTTTTTTCTTTACTGTAAAGAGAATATTTTTTGCTTAATGTACATTGCAATCTAAAGTTAATTAAAAGTTCTTAAATGAGTTTTTTTAAATTATTTTTGGAACAAAATTCATTTTTTTAACGATTAATAAATAAGTTTAAAATAAGTTTAATAATCTTAATAAGTTTAAAATCCAACAATTTAAAGGTGTACATATTAAACATACATACAGTAGTTACATTTACGCAGTTACTGATCTACGAAAGGCTATAGTTAGCAAAAATATTGTCTTATAATAGTACCGCTAATTAGTTAATGTTATATTACTTTTGAAACTTCACTTTCTATATATTATTTATTTTAAATCAGCAACGTAACCAGGATTGTACCAAACAAGATTTTGGTATTTATTACTAAAATCATTCAATTCATTTTAATAAAAATTAACAGCAATTTGATGCAATTATATGCTTATATTCATATGGAATATGTAGAAAGTAATATTCTTATTAATCTCATTTTTCATAAATTTCTTTATAAATATAAAAAACGTAAAATATATATATAGGTTTTTATATATTT